CAAGCCTATTCCCCCTCAGGAGACTGAAAAGATTTGGCATGGGTCCTCAGATCCTCAAAAAATTCTACAGCTGCACCATCGAGAGCATCCTGACTGGTTGCATCACCGCCTCGTATGGCAACTGCTTGGCCTCCGACCGCAAGGCACTACAGAGGGTAGTGCGTACGGCCCAGTACATCACTGGGGCCAAGCTTCCTGCCATCCAGGACCTCTATACCAGGCGGTGTCAGAGGAAGGCCCTCAAAATTGTCAAAGACTCCAGCCACCCTAGTCATAGACTGTTCTCCCTGCTACCGCACGGCAAGCGGTACCGGAGTGCCAAGTCTAGGTCCAAAAGACTTCTCAACAGCTTTTACCCCCAAGCCATAAGACTCCTGAACAGCTAATCATGGCTACCCGGACTATTTGCACTGCCCCCCCACCCCATCATTTTTACGCTGCTGCTACTCTGTTAATTATTTATGCATAGTCACTTTAACTCTACCCACATGTACATATTACTTCAATTATCTCAACTAGCCGGTGCCCCCGCACATTGACTCTGCACCGGTACCCCCCTGTATATATAGCCTCCCTACTGTTATTTTATTTTACTTCTGCTCTTTTTTTCTCAACACTTTTTTTGTTGTTTTATTTTTACTTTTTTTGTTAAAATAAATGCACTGTTGGTTAAGGGCTGTAAGTAAGCATTTCACTGTAATGTCTGCACCTGTTGTATTCGGCGCATGTGACCAATAAAATTTGATTTGATTTGAGATGTTTGATCGGGTTCAAGTCCGGGCTCTGGCTGGGCCACTCAAGGACATTCAGAGACTTGTCCCGAAGCCACTCCTGTGTTCTCTTTGCTGTGTGCTTAGGATCATTGTCCTGTTGGAAGGTGAATCTCCGCCCCAGTCTGAGGTCCTGAGCGCTCTGGAGCAGGTTTTCATGAAGGATCTCTCTGTACTTTGCTCCGTTCATCTTTCCCTTGATCCTGACTAGTCTCCCAGTCCCTGCCGCTGAAAAACATCCCCACAGCATGATGCTGCTACTACCATGCTTCACCGTAGGGATGGTGCCAGGTTTCCTCCAGAGGTGACGCTTGGCATTCAGGCCAAAGAGTTCAATCTCGGTTTCATCAGACCAGAGAATCTTGTTTCTCATGGTCTGAGAGTCCTTTAGGTGCCTTTTGGCAAACTCTGAGCGGGGTGTCATGTGACTTTTTTTACTGAGGAGTGGCTTCTGTCTGGTCACTCTACCACAATGGCCTGATTGGTGGAGTGCTGCGGAGATGGTTGTCCATCTGGAAGGTTCTCCCATCTCCACAGAGGAACTCTGGAGCTCTGTCAGAGTGACCATCGGGTTCTTGGTCACCTCCCTGACCGAGGCCCTTCTCCCCCAATTGCTCAGTTTGGCCGGGCAGCCAGGTCTAGGAAGAGTCTTGGTGGTTCCAAACTTCTTCCATTTAAGAATGATGGAGGCCACTGTGTTCTTGGGGACCTTCAATGCTGCAGAATTTTTTTGGTACCCTTCCCCAGATCTGTGCCTCGACACAATCCTGTCTCGGCGCTCTAAGGACAATTCCTTAGACCTCATGGCTTGGTTTTTGCTCTGACATGCACTGTCAACTGTGGGACCTTATATAGACAGGTGTGTGCCTTTCCAAATCATGTCCAATCAATTGAATTTACCACAGGTGGACTTCAATCAAGTTGTAGAAACATCTCAAAGATGATCAATGGAAACAGGATGCACCTGAGCTCAATTTCGAGTCTCATAGCAAAGGGTCTGAATACTTCTGTAAATAAGGTATTTCAGTTTTTTATTTGTAATAAATTTGCTAATAATTCTAAAAACCTGTTTTCGCTTTGTCATTATGGGGAATTGTGTGTGTGTAGATTGATGAGGGGGAAAAAATTATTTAATCCATTTCAGAATAAGGCTGTAACGTAACAAAATGTGGAAAAAGTCAACAGGTCTGAATACTTTCCGAATGCACTGTATATCCACGATTTCAATGTTAGAGTATGTGGTTAACTGATTATGTGTCAATGTGTGCGGCTGAGTTGATGGCCATGATTTATAGATAGGTTTGAGATGGGTGGAGGAGGTGAAACCACTCAGAGTGGTGATCTGCTCTGATTCGGCTGCAGTGTTGAGTTGTGTCAAAACGGGCAGGTCGGATTGGGGAGACTTGTTTGTGGAAATGATGGTGCTGTTAATGGGATTGGAGAGGATGGGACTGGTAGTAAGCTTTTGCTGGGTTCCCGCCCATGTGGGTGTGGAGGGTAATGAGAAGGCTGGTGTGGTGGCTAAGAATGTGGTGAGGAGAGAGGGGGTAGATATTCAGGTCCCGTTAGGCTGTAGGGAAGTCAAGTCCTTGATCTGGGCAAAAGGGCTGAATCTTTGGCAAAGGGAGTGGGATTCTAGTAGTAAGGGTAGGCAATTGTATCACGTGCACCGGTTAGTTAAGGAAGAAATGTATGCACTCACTAACTGTAAGTCACTCTGGATAAGAGCGTCTGCTAAATGACTAAAAAATGTAAAAATATAAAAAATGGGGAGTATGGGATGTAGGAGAGAGGAAGTTGTGTGGAGTAGACTATGGTATGGGCACACATGTTTGAATGCCACGTTGTGGATGATAGGGAGACATAAAACAGGTCTGTGTGATGAGTGTTCAGTGGAGAAAACGGTGGAACATGTGTTGATATTTTGTGAACTGTATGACGTAGAAGTGGTATCTACGGCTCTATTTCACTTTCTTAGAGGAACAGGACTAATGAAGAGAATTTAATGTAGGTAGGCCATGACTGGCCTCACACTCCAGGACAGTAGGTAGCAGTGTATGCACCTTAAAAGTTGAATGCGATCCGCCAATCCAATCTCAAAGAAGAAGAAGGTGTCGCTGACAGGCCAGTAATAGCTTGCCTGGCTTGCTCTCTTGGACAGCTGGCACAGCCCGGACCTCACTGGAAAGGCTAGATGTCATACAAGGGCAAGGACTCAGAATATGTAGTGGGGCGTTTCAGACGTCCCCAGTGGCTGCATATGCCATTGCAGATTAGGAGACAGCAGCTGGCAATTAATTATTGGGTCAACCTACAAGGACATGGGGTGTCTCATCCTGCGAAAGGGATTTTACAGGCATGCTGGGAACATAAGTGAAGACAGAACACGAGCTTTGGGTGGGTGGGTAATACCCAGGCGAAGGAGATGGGACTGTATGGAAGGGAGTTTAGTCCAACGGTAGTTATTCCTGTAAATCCACCATGGCTACTCCCGCCTCCAGTAGTTGATCTAGAAGTGTTGGAGAGACTACAGAAAGATAGGGAGGGTGTTGATCCATCTGATTTGTTTAAGAGACGTCTGGATACTGTATATCAGGATGTTGTGGCCATTTACACAGATGGTTCAAAAGATCCAAGGACAGGATGTACTGGGTCAGCATTTGTAGTGCAGGAATGTGGGGTGGAAGTCAGGAAACGTATTAAAGCTCATCTGACTGTATATACGGCGGAGCTGATGGCCATACTGTTGGCCTTGCAGTGGGTGGAGGAAGTCAAACAAGACAGAGTATTTATTTGCTCTGATTCATGTGCAGTGTTAATGAGTCTCCAGTCCTTTAGCTCACATAGCAGACAAGACCTGCTTTATGAGGTGCTACAAACCCATGGCAGGATTAAACAGATGGGTATACAGATAATATTTACTTGGGTCCCAGCCCATGTGGGGGTGGAGGGGAATGAGGCAGTATATGAACTGGCTAAACAAGCACTTAGTAGTGGGGATGTTGATGTTGACGTTTCAATGAGCAAGGCAGAGGCAAAAATACTGATATGGACAGTGATGGTGCAGAGATGGCAGGAGCAGTGGAATAGAGATAATACGGGAAGGCATTTATTTCAAGTACAGAGGAAAGTCGGCGAGGGGAGGACGGCAGGAAGGGACAGAAGAGAGGAGGCTATTTTTACAAGATTAAGGGTTGGACACAGCCAGTTGAATAAGACATTAAATGTGATAGGAAAGCATCCAACAGGAAAGTGTGATTATTGTCAGGAAACAGAGACGGTGGAGCATGTATTGCTACGGTGTGGGCAGTATCAGAGGGAAAGAGAGAGGATGATATCTAGTATGAAGGAGAAGGGGATACAGGAAATTAGTTTAAATAGTATATTCAGTAGAACGTCATTAGATATACTAGAAATATTTTGTTATCTTTTTTAAGAGCAACGGGGCTGGCAGGTAGGATTTAGTTTTATCCCCGTCTCTGGCCCACACTCCAGTACAGTAGGTGGCGGTAATGCACGATAACGTTGGATGCCAAGCGCCGATAAACCCCACTGAAGAAGAAGACAGCTGGCACACACAGCAGCAGTCGACCCGACAATGGTTTGATTCACACTTCAGTCGTTAGCTATGTGATTCATTATTATGTGTCCGATAAATATCGCTATCTAAGTATCATAGCTACGACATCGCCTGTAAAGCATTCCGTGCACAACTTCGCTAGCTAATCTGCGTACGTCAGTGGTGGCTAGCTAACACCGGCAGTCTGGTCGTATTCATCAGTGCACACCGTAACGTTAACTGTTAATGTTAACCTAAACGGTGTATGTAACGTTAGCTGGCTACGTTGCATAACTTTGCTACAGTGTGTGCACTAATGAACACGATCTGATGTAGGCTAACTTTAGCTAGCTAGCTACCCTGTAATTTAGCAAGTTACTGTAGCTGGCTAACGTTACTGTACTCTGTTTATATTTTAGCTAACTAGCTAACGTTAGTTGTATTTTTGTTAACACAATAAATCTACATATATAGCCAACGTAACTATAGCCAAGTTATCGCTAGCTGCACCAAACATGTAACGTTAGTGCTTGCCTCTTGTGTCTCGTTCAAGTAGAGCGCTAACGTTACAGTAGCTAGCTGGCTAACCTTTTTCCCCTCCCAAATCTGATAAGCCTAGTCAGGTGTGCAGGTGATAATTACAGACATTATTGATAATCCTCTCTCCTCCAGGTGTGAGGCACAGTAGAGCCTCTCATCCTAAGGCCTTCGGATGTCTAGCCATGTGTGTGGCCGCATCCTTCTGCGAGCAGCCAGCAGCACCCTCAGCCCTCTCTCTCCCCAGGTAGGTGCTGTCAGAGATCAGAAACACCAAAGCTTTCAATCAGTGACTGGTTTAGGCCTATTGTCTGGGAAACCAGGTGTGTGCACTCTCAGAAAGTAGACTAAATTACATGAATGGAAAACGTGCACTAAGTGCGACAGAGAAACACTATCGTGCACTATCCATGTAAATGCTGGCCAGTCATATCTATCCATTTCCTCTCCTGTCTTTCTCTCTTGGCCAGCATGCCCTCTACTCCTCCATACCCTCCTGCCCCTCCCCCTCTCAGTGGCCCAGTCTGACCCAGCGAGCCTGCCTCTCCTCCTGGGGCTGCTCTGGGTCTGGTGCTAGGTGTAGGTCTGGGGCCACCATGCGTTTCCTCTCCACCTGTCAGGACCTGGACTTCCAGCTGAGCCGTGTCCAGATCAGCAGCATCCTGCGAGCCAACGAGCAGGTACCACTTATTATAATAATCACTACATAATCATATAAAGCAGGCGTTTTCAATTCCCATCTGTATGTGGGCCACCTCAGGATGCACATTTTCATTCCAGCCCAATGATATTGCACCTGTTTCAACCAATAATCAATGCCCTTGGGTAGATTAATCAGGTGTGATGGCATTGGGCTGGGCTTTCCCAGGACCAAAAACCCATGATATAAGGCATCAAGCAGGGTAATGCCTTTCTGTCTAATGAAGGTTCTTGATGTAGTTGTCTAGTATTTTGTCATGGAGCTATTGTTGTCGATGGTCTGCATTCACACCCTGCCTGCATCAGGGTGCATAGCTCTGGTCTTCAAGTCCTAGTTACTGTCCTTGTCTTTTAACTAGATTGATTTCTGCCTGAGCAACCCGAGATGTGGAGACTAGCCTATCAATTAAGTACGTTGATCAAGTGCCAGGGAGATGCAGTATGAAAACCAGCAGGACAACTGCCTTATAGTGCTGGAGTTGTGCACCCCTAACCAACAACCAGTTATTTAAATACACCCAATTGTTCTCTCTAACCCAGGCTGTGAGCATCCCTGAGTTTGATGGCCGGGGTCTCAGTGCTGTGAGGAAGTTTGAGAGCAACCAGCTGGCAGCTAACACCCCCAACGAGGACCGCCGCAGCGCAGCCACCTGCCTACAGGTGAGTGTTGTTGTTAGTTACAAACATTTGGTGTTCATTTCCTTATCTCACCCCTCACACACTCCCCCAGACCCTCCCTCTCTCTCTCCCCCAGACTAAGGGAAAGTTATCCAGGGTGTTTGACAGTCTCTCTCCCCCAGACTAAGGGCATGTTGTTCGGGGTATTTGACGGCCATGGTGGCTGGGCGTGTGCCCAGGCGGTCAGTGAGCGTCTGCTGTACTACGTGGCGGTGGCCATGATGTCCCAGAGAGGACTGGAGGAGCTGGAGCACTGCATGGAGCAGAGCAGGCCTGTCCCGCCCATCCTACAGTGGTACAAAAACCATGGAGACTACAACTACAGAGAGTCAGCCTCACTCTACGTAGAACACCTCCGGGTCTTCTGGCAGGAGCTGCTGGACAGCGAGGAGCACGGCGACGGAATGAGGTGGGGCTGTGTGTATAAGTTGTGTGAGACATTGAGCATGGTAAGAGCCTGACTCCATCTCTCTGATTAGTATTGTAACCCAACTGTTTTTGTCTTCCTGTTCTTATACATCTCTCCAACCATCCTCCATGCCTCCCTCCCAGTCCTCCTGATGCTCTGTACTATGCCTTTAAGCGTCTGGACACAGATATCTCTCTGGAGGCCCAGGTCCCACTCTCCAGCGACCTCATGAGGAGTACTGCCATACAGGTGTGAGTGTGTGCCATCCACCTCATTCCAGATTAATTAGGAATTTCAGATTTTCTCACTGGTCTTTAATTTATTGTGGCAATTAATTGGGTGCATTCCCCCCCCCCTGACTTTCTCTGTTGTGTTTAACACATCCAACCAGGTGGCGTTTGCTGGCTCCACAGCCTGTGTTGCCCATGTAGGCACTGAGGGGATCCATGTGGCGAACGCAGGTAGGGTGGTAGTGTCGTACAGGTGGGATATACACTGAGTGTACAAAACATTAGGAACACCTCCTCTTTCCATTAAATAGACTGACCAGGTGAAAGCTATGATCCCTTAGTCACTTGTTAAATCATTGTGGTCCTCTGTAGCTCATACACAAAAATGTATGCACGCATGACTGTAAGTCGCTTTGGATAAAAGCGTCTGCTAAATGGCATATTATTATTATTATTATAAAACCATTTCAGTGAGTGTAGATGAAGGGGAGGAAACAGGTTAAATAAGTATTTTTGAGCCTTGAGGGTGAATGGGCAAGAGAAAAGATTGAAGTGCCTTTGAACGGGGTATGATAGTAGGTGCCAGGCGCACTGGTTTGAGTGTCAAGAACTGCAACTCTGCTGGGTTTTTCACGCACAACAGTTTCCCGTGTGTATCAAGAATGGTCCACCACCCAAAGGACATCCAGCCAACTTGACACAACTGTGGGAAGCTTTGGAGTTTTCAATTTTTTTTGTAATTTAGCAGACGCTCTTATCCAGAGCGACTTACAGTTAGTGAGTGCATACATTTTTCATACTGGCCCCCTTGGGAATCGAACCCACAACCCTGGCGTTGCAAGCGTCATGCTCTACCAACTGAGTTACAGGAGGGCAGCATCCCTGTGGAACGCTTTCGACACCTTGTAGAGTCCATGCGCTGACGAATTGAGGCTGTTCTGAGGGCAAAAGGGGGTGCAACTCAATATTAAGGTGTTCTTAATGTTTTGTACACTCAGTGTATAATGGAATTGTATCATGACAACTCTGTGATAATAACACTCTTAAAGTACTCCCTGTTTTCAACAAATGGACAAAATACTATACTATTATTTTCTTCCTTGAACACAGTTGAAAATGAAGTTCTATTCTATTGTGCGGTGTAAACTCAGGTGACTGCCGTGCAGTGCTGGGGGTGCAGGAGGAGGACGGGTCGTGGAGCGCCTTGCCCCTGTCCCAGGACCACAATGCCCAAAACGAGGCTGAGCTGGAGAGGCTCCGAGCCCAGCACCCCCCCTCGGAGAGGGACACGGTGGTCACTGACGACAGGCTGCTGGGGGTCAGAACACACCCTCACATAGAGGATTAGATCATATACTGTAGATTTATTTACATATCATAAGAAAGACCAGGCTGAGCTGGAGAGAGAAACAGTGGTCACTGGTGACAGACTCATACAGTATAATTACCTCTGCATGTATTCTATGTGACTGTCTAATTCTCCATCTCATGGTCTCTAGATCCTGATGCCTCTGCGTTCGTTTGGAGACGTGAGGTTCAAGTGGAGCCTTGAGCTGCAGCAGAGTGTTCTAGAAAGCCTGGAGTCTGGAATGGACCTGGACTCTCTAAACCTCTACCAGTACACTCCGCCCAACTACCTGAGCCCGCCCTACCTGGACGTGGCGCCACAGCTGACCTATCACAGCCTGCGACCGCAGGACCGCTTCCTGATCTTGGGCTCTGATGGGCTGTGGGACGAGATGAGCTCTAAGGAGGCGGTACGGCTGGTGGGAGAACACCTGAGTGGGATTCACCTACAGGTAAGGACGAGAGGGTGTGCGAGAGAGATGGGGCACTGTGTTTGTGTGTGTGAGGGCTGTGGGATAACCACTTGTGGGGGGAAACTTTTTACGGGTGTCTGTTTTTTGTCCATGTGCATATATAATTTTGAATGTAGTAAACTGTCGTTCTGCAGTCTCCCGTCTCCCCCACTGAGAGACAGTTGAACCTGGGCCAAATGCAAGAGCTGCTGCTGAAACGCCGTGCCCGTGCCATGCCCACCCTGGACTCCAACGCTGCCACACACCTCATCAGACACGCCCTGGGCACCGGGCAGTATGGAGAGCTCTGCCAGGAGAGACTGGCATCCATGTTGGCTCTGCCTGAGGACCTGGCACGCATGTACAGAGACGATATCACAGCTACTGTGGTTTACCTGAACTCTGACCTGGTCAGACAACACAGGTAACACAGATGGGGACACACACACACACAAACATAACATTTTTACAGTAACGATGGTCTACTTCAACTCAGGCCTGGTCACGTTACACACACACACATTTCTTGACAATTGTTTATTTACCTTAGGGTGAAAACATTTGCTGCGTACTTAGACCTAAAGCTCAAATACTGCTCTCAGAAAGTGGCATTGTATTAGTGTTTTTCAAATGGTTAAATATAGCTTGAAACTCCTACATGCAGGTGAATAACCATGTTGTTTTCCAATAATTCCAATAATGTATGTATGCTGATGTTAAACTTTGTCTGTTTTTTTTTTTTTACTGCATAGTCATCATAGTCCCAAAGCACCATCGGAGCAACATGTTTCACCAGACTGACTGGGTACCACATCATACATGACCATAGTTTAAATAAATCATATTTTCTTATGAACTCTCTGGTGCACTTCCTCACTTTATACTGTCTGATAAAATCCTAAATATATTTTCAGAACTATATTTTCTATGACTTTATGTTACCTGGTGTTAGTTTGGTAAAACTGCTATGTAATGTATTTTTACTATTTGCTGACAATCTACAGTCCACAAACTAAACTGAAGGTTTATTGTTATTGGCACATGTAGTTTGTACATGTGTAAAGTCGAGTTGAGAGCAGTCCGATCAGTGGATGAAGTGAAATTGCTCATTGTTTGCTGTAAAGGTTTTTTTCAAATCATGAATTGAACTTCAAATCACTTCCTAATGAAAATGAGTTAAAATGTTAACCAAAACCCTTCAATTCTGTTCGTTGTTTTTCTGTCTGTGATAGTTTTGAGTTGTCTCCATCTCCTGTAATGTGTCCTCTGCTCTCTCAAATCCTCTGTTTTCCCTCTTAGGATATTTTTAAAATGTTATGCTCGCCTCGCCCACAGGGTTTCTTTAGTGTAATTAACACTATGGAGCAGAGGCTGGACGAAGTGTACTTTTTAGTCAGTCACATGTCAGTATTTTAGGTCTCAATGTACCATCTTCTGTTTCAATAAAGGACATTTTGGTTAAATGAATGTGATTCCCTTCAAAATGTGAAAATAAGGCCTTGTTTTCAGTTTTGAAATGTTTGAAGTTCAAATGAGAACAACCTACTGTGTTAGAGAATTGATTGGTTCAACAGTTCACTTCCTGTGCCACCTCCACTACTTTATATAATATAATATGCCATTTAGCAGATGCTTTTATCCAACGCAACTTACAGTCATGTGTGCATACATTTTTACGTATGGGTGATAAAGCCAATCACTTTTAAATGACCTTTTCCAAGTTTACTCTTAAGATCTGTATTATACAGTGGGGGAAAAAAGTATTTAGTCAGCCACCAATTGTGCACGTTCTCCCACTTAAAAAGATGAGAGGCCTGTAATTTTCATCATAGGTACACGTCAACTATGACAGACAAATTGAGAAAAAAAATTCCAGAAAATCACATTGTAGGATTTTTTATGAATTTATTTGCAAATTATGGTGGAAAATAAGTATTTGGTCACCTACAAACAAGCAAGATTTCTGGCTCTCACAGACCTGTAACTTCTTCTTTAAGAGGCTCCTCTGTCCTCCATTCGTTACCTGTATTAATGCCACCTGTTTGAACTTGTTATCAGTATAAAAGACACCTGTCCACAACCTCAAACAGTCACACTCCAAACTCCACTATGGCCAAGACCAAAGAGCTGTCAAAGGACACCAGAAACACAATTGTAGACCTGCACCAGGCTGGGAAGACTGAATCTGCAATAGGTAAGCAGCTTGGTTTGAAGAAATCAACTGTGGGAGCAATTATTAGGAAATGGAAGACATACAAGACCACTGATAATCTCCCTTGACCTGTGGGGTCAAAATGATCACAAGAACGGTGAGCAAAAATCCCAGAACCACACGGGGGGACCTAGTGAATGACCTGCAGAGAGCTGGGACCAAAGTAACAAAGCCTACTATCAGTAACACACTACGCCGCCAGGGACTCAAATCCTGCAGTGCAGACGTGTCCCCCTGCTTAAGCCAGTACATGTCCAGGCCCGTCTGAAGTTTGCTAGAGTGCATTTGGATGATCCAGAAGAGGATTGGGAGAATGTCATATGGTCAGATTAAACCAAAATAGAACTTTTTGGTAAAAACTCAACTCGTCGTGTTTGGAGGACAAAGAATGCTGAGTTGCATCCAAAGAACACCATACCTACTGTGAAGCATGGGGGTGGAAACATCATGCTTTGGGGCTGTTTTTCTGCAAAGGGACCAGGACGACTGATCCGTGTTAAGGAAAGAATGAATGGGGCCATGTATCGTGAGATTTTGAGTGAAAACCTCCTTCCATCAGCAAGGGCATTGAAGATGAAACGTGGCTGGGTCTTTCAGCATGACAATGATCCCAAACACACCGCCCGGGCAACGAAGGAGTAGCTTCGTAAGAAGCATTTCAAGGTCCTGGAGTGGCCCAGCCAGTCTCCAGATCTCAACCCCATAGAAAATCTTTGGAGGGAGTTGAAAGTCCGTGTTGCCCAGCGACAGCCCCAAAACATCACTGCTCTAGAGGAGATCTGCATGGAGGAATGGGCCAAAATACCAGCAACAGTGTGTGAAAACCTTGTGAAGACTTACAGAAAACGTTTGACCTGTGTCATTGCCAACAAAGGGTATATAACAAAGTATTGAGAAACTTTTGTTATTGACCAAATACTTATTTTCCACCATCATTTGCAAATAAATTCATAAAAAATCCTATGTCATAGATCCAGTAGTCTCCGTCAGTGTAACTATCTTTACAACTTAACTCCTTTATGAATATACTGAGGTAGCTGCTGGGTAACTAACTGTAGGACTCTCCTAACTCCAGATAATTAATATTTAGTTCCTCTTGAATGTAGTGAATGAAAGAAAGGAATTAGTCCTACAGTTACCCAATTGCTATACCTCAGTTTATTTATGAAGGAGTTGAGTCGTGATAAAGAACTAGTAAACAAGAGCACAGAGAAGGACAGGAATGGTTATAAGGAAGTCTGTGATGTGGGTAGTAGTTAGTTTCACTTCTACGTTCAACGTAGTGCCATCAGAAAGTATTCATACCTCTTGACTTATTCCACATTTGTGTTAAAGCCTGAATCCAAAAATGGATTTTAAAAATACTCAACCATCCACACAATACCCCATAATAACAAAGTGAAAACATGTTTTTAGAAATGTTAGCAAATTTATTAAATACAGAAATATCTAATTTACAAAAGTATTCATGCCCTTGAGTCAATACATATTAGAATCACCTTTTGGCAGTGTTTACAGCTGTGAGTCTTTCTGGGTAAGTCTAAGAGCTTTGCACACCTGAATTGTACAATATTTTCACATTCTTTTTAAAATTAAAACTGTCAAGTTGGTTGTTGATCATTGCTAGACAGCCATTTTCAAGTCTTGCCATAGATTTTTCAAGCCGATTAAAGCCAACTTTAAGTAGGCCACTCAGGAACATTCAATGTCGTCTTGGTAAGCAACTCCAGTGTATATTAGGCCTTGTGGTTTAGGTTATTGTCCTGCTGAAAGGTGAATTTGTCTCCCAGTGTCTGTTGGAAAGCAGACTGAACCTGGTTTTCCTCGAGGATTTTGCCTGTGAATAGCTCTATTCTGTTTATTTTTAGCCAAAATAACTCCATAGTCCTTGCCGATGACAAGCATACCCATAACATGATGCAGTCACCACCATGCTTGAAAATATGAAGAGTGGTACTCAGTGATGTGTTGGATCTTCCCCAAACATAACACTTTGTATTCAGGACATAAAGTTAATTTCTTTGCCACATTTTTGGCAGTTTTACTTTAGTGCCTTATTGCAAACAGGATGCATGTTTTGGAATATGTTTATTAAGTAGAGGCTTACTTCTTTTCACTATGTCATTTAGGTTAGTATTGTGGAGTAACTAAAATGTTGTTGATCCATCCTCAGTTTTCTCCTACCTCAGCCATTAAACTCTGGAAATATTTCCTTTGTCTCCGACATTTTGGTTAGAAAGGACGCCTGTATCTTTGTAGTGACTGAGTGTATTGATACACCATCCAAAGTGTAATTAATAAATTCACTATGCTCAAAGGGATATTCAATGTCTGCTTTTTTCTTTGCGAGGCATTGGAAAACCTCCCTGGTCTTTGTGGTTGAATCTGTGTTTGAAATTCACTGCTCAACTGACAGACCTTACAGACAATTGTATGTGTGGGGTACAGAGATGAGGTAGCTCAATGATTTAAAAAATGAGGTAGTTCATGATTCAAAAATCATGTTAAACACTATTATTGCACACAGAGTGAGTGAGTCCATGCAACTTTATTATGTGACTTGTTAAGCACATTTTTATTCCTGAACTTATTTAAGCTTGCCATAACAAAGGGGTGACTCGACATTTCAGCTATAATTATTATTATTTTTTATTTTTAATCTAAAAACATAATTCTACTTTGACATTATGGGGTATTTTGTGTAGGCCAGTGAGTGACACAAAATCTAATTTTAATCCATTTGTGGAAAATATCAAGGTGTGTGAATACTTTCTGAAGACTGTTGATTCTACCAGCTTGTCTCAGTTTGTCTTAAAAATGTCTGTCCTCTCTGGAGGAGCTGGTCACAGATTAACATGGCTCAGGATATCTTGAATGGCTTTCCTTGAATAATCCATTTGTTAGGTAATGAGACAACAAGGCCTTATTTAGGCTACATAATCCAGACAACTGCTGTATAACTGCTGTATACCCAACAGCATACTGTATTGATCATGAAGGTTACCTTTAATTTATAGGTTATGAATTGGCTTGGATTAATGGTCTGTCTTTCTTCCCATCCCCAACCTCTCTCAGAACAAGCTGCTTCTCCATTTTAGTCCTGCTTCTTCCAACCATTTCTTCTGAAAAGTATGGCAAGGTGACATATTTGCTGTTGGGATCAACTCTGAGATTAAAATCTGCTACTTTATTAGAGAAAGAACAATATAACATTTTATCCATTCTCAAAATGTGAAATAGATGCACCCAAATTAAGTTCTCGCCAAGCTTTGCTGTAGTCTAAACACTGTTTAAATTGTTTACTTAGCTAATTGTACCAAGGAGTAAGACCCATAATACCAATATTGCAAATGATGATTGTTATTATTATGAATGCATAAATACATACAATGTAAATCACAAACAATATTACAAAAACATGTGGATACAGTTCATGGGATAAGTTACAGTTCATACAGTTCAGTTCATGGCGGGGGGGGGATAGACAATTATGCACTTTCATCTACAAATACTCATACAGTGCCTTGCAAAAAGTATTCATCCCCCTTGGCGTTTTTCCTATTTTGTTGCATTACAACCTAATTTAAATTGATTTTTATTTGGATTTCATGTAATGGACATACACAAAATAGTCCAAATTGGTGAAGTGAAATGAAAAAAATAAGTAGTTTAAAAAAATTCTAAAAAATAAATTACGGAAAAGTTGTGCGTGCTTATGTATTCACCCCCTTTGCTATGAAGCCCCTAAATAAGATCTGGTGCAACCAATTACCTTCAGAAGTCACATAATTAGTTAAATGAAGTCCACCTGTGTGCTATCTAAGTGTCACATGATCTGTCACATGATCGCAGTGTATATATACACCTGTTCTGAAAGGCTCCAGAGTCTGCAACACCACTAAGCAAGCGGCACCATGAAGACCAAGGATATTGCAAAACAGGTCAGGGACAAAGTTGTGGAGAAGTACAGATCAGGGTTGGGTTCTAAAAAAATATCTTGAACTTTGAACATCCCACGGAGCACCATTAAATCCATTATTAAAAAATGAAAAGAATATGGCACCACAACAAACCTGCCAAGAGCTGGCCGCCCACCAAAACTCACGGACCAGGCAAGGAGGGCATTAATCAGAGAGGCAACAAAGAACTCCAATCTCCGCTGTGGAGATTTCCAGTATCTTTCCACAGGATGCTTTAAGCTGTACACTCCACAGAGTTGGGCTATACGGAAGAGTGG